TATATATATTTTTAAATTGCTTTTATTCACTGTTATATAAAATATTATAAATAAACTTTATTTTACTTAATGAGGTCAAGACTTCCGCGAGTATTTATTTTAATGAAACTAATATTTTGTGTTTTTTTTTATATTCGTGTTTAATTTTTGTAATGTCCCAGACATTCATATCTCGTCTGCCCGTGATCACGGTTGGTGAAAAGTAACCGAAACGTCGCAAGTATGTAGTTTTTTACAAAAATAAAATACGTGTAGTATATCCAAAAAATATTTGCTATCATTTATTTTATTTCTTTGTGCAATATCAAGAGAATATTTATTTATATGTTATGTGACGGTGTCATAAGTGGTCGTTTAATTAAAATATAATTATCTTTATACTATGTAATCGGAGGACGCCTTAGCTTCTGAGTAAACTCGTCTATTCGACACGGGTCTGACTCAGCAGTTCCGTGTGAAGACAGTTTTTGATTTTATATTTCTTTTAAGAATTTAATTAGATTATTTTCACAATTTGTTCAACCTTTAAGCAACATAGTCGAACCCTAGTTGTAATTTACTTTATAATTAAATTAAGTCAAATAATTTTGGTTTCATTGCATCCACCGACCGTCGAAATCATAATTTATTGTTTTATTATTAACAGCAAAAAATTTTAATTTCAAATCAAGTAAGTTAATTAATTATTTTTATTATATAACATTACATTACTAGAAAGTAAAAAACACTTTCAATTATGTACTTATAACAACAACTCTGTTAATAATTAAACAATACTTATTAACATAATATTTCAATTCATAAAATGGAATAATAACAAAATAACTGTTTTTGTTTTTATGAAAAATTATATATCCGGATATAAGAAAAGATAATACGGCTACCGCTTATAAAGTAGGTTAAGTGCAAGGCATACTATGGAATTGTTTTATTTAATTTTTTCGTATCCAGGGATAACGAGGTTTTTTATTTAATTTTCCTGTACTTTTGTTGTATGTAAATATACCTGTATAAACTGAGTTTTGAAGCGAAAATCCTCAACGATTGAACTGAAAATTTGTATACTAAGTTCAAAATTGCCGCGTTATTAAACATGAGACGTCATTCTCAATCTAACATGGCGCCATATCCAAGATGACAAACTAATTTGTGTTTAATGTATTCTGTAATAAAGTATCAAATGTTTTGTTTCGCTAAGAATAAAACGAAAAGTGATTTCAGACTTTGAAGAAGGTTTTCAGCCAATTGAGTAGCAATTATGTAAGAAACTAGATGCGTTTCTTTTAGGCAAGGCGTGGTCAAGTTGGAAGTCAAAATGGAACACAATCAAACAACTTACATTTACAAACTCTTCAATAAAATTAATAAAATTAAATATTAAATGATTATTATTATGTGTAGAGTAACAAAATGTTTGTACTCACTGGTATAACACGATGAGACTCCATGGCGCCATCACACCTAAGCTACTAGTGACGAACTCGAACGTACATTCACATTATTTTTATTGTTTAATCACTTTAACTTGATTCACTACACTTTAACTTGATTCAATTCACTGATACCACTTTTCTTCAAATATCGATACGTTTCACTATGTTACAAATCAATTTAAAATAACACTTAGTTAACTAAAGAGTATACGGCTCGAGAATTCACTGTCTTCATCGTTTAATTGAAAATCCATCTGCAGAATTCCATTCTAGGCTCGAAGTCGGAAGGAATTAATAACTGTACTCGACGATAATGGTACGGGTGCTGGCCATTTTCCTTTAAAACTTTCCATACACGCGTATGGTTGACACCGAGTTGATGTCCCACCGAGCGCGTGCTTCGCGTAGGATCCTGTCGAAAAATAACTAATATGTGTTCCTCTAGATCGTCATTATTAACCCTCGGCCTTCCCGCATTAGCACGTTGTTGTTCACGGCCATCGACATTTCCGAAATTATATATGCGTATTTGAAGACGCTGAAGTGACGGTTATGGTATGTTTCTTGGAGAAGCAAACAGTTCGTCATAAAGTCTATGCGATTCGGCATAATTACAATCACATTTCTCTAGACACATTAACATATTGGAATATTCCTGGTTGGAGTACATTTTATAAAACAACACAATTTTATAAAACCGTAAACAAAAAGTAATCCACTCGGAAGAAAATTTCACAAGGAACTAACTAATAAAAAAAATATTAAAAAGGCGGCAAATGCTCGAATAAAAACTATCGATATTTAAAAAATCATAACAATAAATAAATATTTAATATTATTTCGATACTTATTTTGATATATCAAATATTAATATTATATTTCATTGTAAAACACCATATTTAACAGAAGTAGATTAACGATTTATCCTAATAATATAACATAGTTAATTTACCTGAAGAAGTTCCAAATTATAATATTGATTAATAATATTTATTATTATTAAAAGTTATTTTAAATGAAATTATTTTAATGTGAAAAGCACTAACTATTTATAGCAATATTGAAAATATCGATAGAATATTTATCGATATACCTAATTTTTAAACTTGCAAAACTATATTCGAAAAACAAACAAGAGACGAGTCGCGCCACGCCGGCGGCCTGGCGCCTGCGACGAATGGCCGCGCGTGCGCCTGCGCGAATATACGACGCCTTAACCCAGTAGTCCCCAAACTTATTTTTCTCGTGGACCACTTTCAAAATTTTACTGATTTCGGTGGACCCCCTGCTGCTCCATTTCTACCACATTCTTAAAGTCGCCAAAAAATAAAAATTGTGTCACTGAGTTCTGTCTCTATATTCCGATAGGTAAAATAAATATCGAATATCGAATAAGCAAGTTTGGACAAGTAACAGTCGCTTGCCTTATTAAAATATTATCTGCTTAGTTAGGTACTTATAACAATGTAGGTAGGCCCTTATAAAAAGTATGCTTACATTTTTGCTCTTTAATATCAAAAGCAGATAAATTTTCGTGGACCCCCATTTTTTGTTCACACCTACGTAGACCCCCAGCAAGTCTCCCGTGGACCCCTGGGGGTCCACCTGGACCACTTTGGGAATCACTGCCTTAACCGTTTAATAATATCGATTTGAAACTTATTTAGCCTATGCACTGTAACTGACCTCTGCTTGATATTTTATAAGTTACCTATACTATCTCTTATAATAAGCTTATACTTATAAGTTATATGTATACATGCCTTTAAGGAAAGACACAGCTTTTAGAACCGGCTGTATATATAAACAATATTCATTTACATATATAAGACAAAACCTATTAAATATGTATTGATTTGTCTTATATGTTTTTGTTAAATAGCTTTTTTTCAATGTTATACAAGATATTATATGTAAATAAAAATATTTTTATAGGTATCTAATGAAATAACTATGTTTTTAATTTAACTTTTCGACTACTTATTATTTATTTGTTACCCACTTTTACAGTTTTACTTAATGTTGTCAAGATGACATATTACATTGTTGTTGTATGTCAAACGTCATTCTGCGTAATGAATAACCATAGATAATTAATTTTACTTTAACTTCTTTTGCAGTGGGTCACATAAGAAATGTTTAATATATATTAGATATGTACTCTTGTTTTTATTATCTTATCAGGTATATATTGTCTTGATATATTGTTTTAATTTATTTTTGTTTAGTTTGGTTTAGTTGTATACAATTTGTGCAATTAGTTTATTAAATTATCTTTATACGTTGATTTCTGAAGTCTGGTGGCGGTTTGGGTATGTGCAATTTTATTTTATTTTTATTATTTTATTATATTTTATTATTATAGATTATATTTTTATTATAATTATTATTTTCTTTCTTTTAGTATACATATTTTTTATTTTAAATGTCGTCTTACAATGTTAGTACAGACAGTAATATATTTTTATCCTTGTCGTCAAATAACTCCTCTATTAGCGAAGATAGTTATCATAGTTTGTCCCCTGAACCTCTTAATGTCACTCTTGACACCCATTTCTTAAACCTAGAGAAGCATTTTAACGTCATTCACATAAATGCACAAAGTATTCCGGCCCATTATCCCGATATGCTTGCGTCATTCTATTCCAAAAACATTCATGCTATTCTAGTATCTGAATCCTGGCTTAAACCATCGCTTCCTTTTACTTCTTTCTCTCTTCCAGGTTTTCATCTCATTCACAATGATCGCATCAACAGAGGTGGTGGTAGCGTAGCTATTTATCTTAGGTCCCACATTCCTTTTACTATTATTAGCACGTTAAGCCAACCCCCCTCTGCGGATGTTGCAGAGCACATACTTATTGAAGTTATCTTGTCCCATACAAAAATCCTTCTAGGTGTCTTTTATAGCCCATCTCTCCTTAACGATTATTTTGACTCATTTGAAACAACTCTGGAAAATTTTATGCCCGTTTATGATCATACCATAATTATGGGTGACTTTAACACCTGCTTACTGAAAAACGATGCTCGCGCTTAAAGAAAGAAGTCGTTAGTGTGCTCGTCATACTTATTAACCTTGATGGTATGGTCTTTGGGGATGTTGGTTTCCCAAGGAACCATAAGCTCTATAAAACGATTATAAAGTTAAAATGTATAGAAACAAATGTAAAAATATCATTATTTATTGTCAGTCATTATAATAAATTTATTCTACATCATAATTCCATTACTTCATATACACAATATGAAAATAACAAAAGTATCTAAAATGTTCAGTTAAAATATCAATACATGTTTAATTATAGGAAAAATTATGATAATTTTCGATCTTAAAAAAAATCGTAATCATCCCATTATATAATTTAATGATTTTTTGTTTATTATATTTATTGTATAATATTCATATATATATCTTGTTTGTGGCCTTTTTAATCTGAAAATAAAATAAACGTTTTATATTATATACAGAAGTTATGATCATAATTGTATCTTCAAATAATATTATATTATTCATATCATTATTCAACATCATTACTATCATTAGTATTCAATAATATATTTACGCTAGCTGGTAGTAGACGCGCTTTTGCTCATTAGCTTAGCGACCATTTCCTGGACTCGTTTCATTTCTTCAAGCTGTGAAGTCACTTGGAACAATCTGTTCTCACGCTCCACTACTGTTTTCTCTAACTGTTTTATAGTCTGTGGAAACAAAAGTTGTAAAGGATTTTTACCATAAAAACTTTATAATCTGTGGGAATTAAACAAATTAAAAAAATTACAATTATTATATAATGTTAATGAAGCAAATGAATAATTTCCCAAAGAGGGTTGATGTCAGGCAGGCGGCCGGTTGTAAAAACAATTAGTCAAAACTATTCACAACATGTAAGGCAGACCCTGGCTGAAGCTGGGGAATTGCCAGGTAGAAGAATGAAGCAAATGAATAATCTTTATTATATCTGTCACACCGTAGTATTTTGTATAATATCTTTTATCCTCACATTCTCCCTCTGTTCTATTTCCTTCCTGAGCGCGGTGTCAGCGGCGGCCGCTTCCTCCAACTTCTTATCTCTCTGTTTAACTCGTTCCTCGAACTTTATCAACACTCCGGCCAGCTCGTTGTTCTTGTTTGACTATAAAAATATTATTAGATTAATATATTTATATTTGTTAGTTATTGAACACATCACTATGAAATTTTTAAATTCCTAACTGAATGATATGTTATTTTCGCAAGTACATATTTAAACCATATATATTCATCTCGTCTGAATAGTATTCGAAAAAACTTAGTTTTGCTTCCCAACTTGTTACCAAAATAACACAGTTTAATAAAGATATTTCTTAAAATTAAGTCAATGTAATAACAATCCCTTTAGCAATAGATTATATATTGAAATTCTCTCATTAATATATTACCTGTTGTTCCAATTTCTTTTGTAATGTTCTATTATCGGCTTCCTGTTGCTTCAAACGCTCTTCTAATTCTCTTTCGCGTACTTTCATTTCATTTTCTATGGTCTGAAAGTAAATATTTTTTAATGAGCGCCATCTTTTGTCAGTATATGAAACTAAAGGCTACTTCTCTTGAAATAGTTTGACAAAATATAAAATAGGTACATATTAACATTTTGTGTCATAATAAAATAAAGTAACTCACAGCTATTTGAGCTCGCAATTCTTTTTGTAAGTGCTCTTTTTGATTTTCTTTATCCAATCTCTCCGCCGCTAACTTCGCTCGGTATCCCCGCACAGTTGTTTCAGCGTCTTCCAATTGTTTGTGAAGATCCTCTATTACCTTTTTATGTCTAAAATATATAAAGAAAATCAAAAAACATAATTATATTATTCAAACACGAAAATTTTGTAGAATAAAATAGAAAAAATGAATGCATCGGCCGGGAATCGAACCCGGGCCGCCCGCGTGGCAGGCGAGCATTCTACCACTGAACCACCGATGCTCATACATCATACGTCAAAAGTGCAGTATGGAATACAAATAAATATTACGATAGACATCATATTAAAACTGTTACTATTTCATGCACACTTATTTCATCCCAATATTAACCGGTTAATATATTTTGTACTAAATGAACTATAAATATTATATATCAATTTAATTGTCATACTTTTCATTCTGCATCTGTGTAGTGTATAATACATCTTGCTGTGATGTATTTGTTGCTTGTAATAATGCAAGTGCGTGTTGTAGTGACGCCATATGCTCTGAGGCTCCCTGAAAAAATAATAATATAAATCTACCAAATTCTACAAATCCCATATCATGGGGGAAGGTGCAAATCCACGCTGCTACCATTGCATAATTCCGCGAATCTACAATGGAAGCAGATTATCACAAGAAAGTTTGAGCTGAAATATTTTCTAAATTAACAACTTTTAAGGTAATTTTTTCACAAATAGTAATAAATTAGACCCTAAATAATTACTATTTGTGAAAAAATTATTACAGATTACTAGTTCCTCGGATTTGCACTATCCCTGACGATATATATATTTAATAATCAGTCCACAAAATAGTGTCAAAAACATTTTTAATACTTTCTCATTCTCATTCTTTTTAAAATTAACATACTATTCAGAATATTTTCTACCATTGAACTTTTCTACTAGATATTTCTAGTTTTATACAGGGTGACTGGTGAATTACTATCGATACTTGAGGACGTGATATTTGACGATCATATAATATGACGAAATAAAAATTAATATAACATAAATATTAATAAACTTCTAAGTAAAGTTAACCAAAAGTTATGTAATTAAATACGCATCGTGTGAACACCCTACAGATTAGGTATACACACACACACACACGCCGCACGCGTCCACAGTTTATTTATTTATACGGAAATTTGGTCAAAAATTAAGTACCTATTTTTTTTACATAATTCGAATGAGAATCACGTACCGAGTATTCTCCTTAAATATTGATAGTAATTCACCAGTCACCCTGTGTAATTAATATTATATTTAAATTGTTCAGTACAATCGTATTTATGAAAAAAAAGTTTATAATGCTAAAAAAAAACATTATTATTTACCTGTAACGCTAATGAATGTGAATGTAACCTCTGTTCTAAGCAAGTCATCTTGTAGCCATAGAGTTCCATTACACTTGATGTAGCTATGTCATTTATCTGAAATATAATTACAAATGTGTTGAGTTTATTTTTTTGTCTTTGTTCTTATAAAAAATATCAGTTCAAAGAAAAAACCTAAAATTTACATATTTGCTTGTCCTACCTTTAATAAATACATTGATATGCATATCATTCAAAGAGATGGCAAGTTTAAAGCACAATTTCTAATCATTATGACAATTTCATGTTTTGATTCAACATAAATAGTTCAAATTATATTTAAAATATAGTAAAAAGAATTGAATGATTATGTTTTATCATATATTCATTCACTCATTCATTCATTCCTTACATTACCTTCCCACTGACTAGAGATTCCCTCATCATATTGATGAGCTCATCGATAGCTCTTTCCTGAGCTGGTGTGAGTCTGTCCGACCATACACTATCAAATTCCTCGCGAGGCGACACACTTTCCACACTTATATCGGATACATTTTGAAGATTATCACCAAATATCTGAAAAAATACATATAAGGTATGAAAAAATATAATTTTTCTATTAATTTAAATAGAACAAGTGAACTGGTGTAACTTTTTTTCTTTATCTTCATAACAATAATGTCAATGAAATTCTAAGCGAGTTCAAAGCAAAAATATAGTAAATCATAGTTAATAGTAAACAATAGTGTCTTAGATCTTAGTAAAATTGATTTAGTAATAATAGCAGTTAAAATAAAATTGAGTTTGTAATAAAACATTCTTACGTAATTATACTTTTTTGTTTTCTTCAAATATTGAAAGTAAAAATATCGCTTACGCACTTTGCTTAAGATATTGATTATATTAAATTTCATTACCTGATTCATATGTTCAGATGGAAAATAGTGATGTTTGATCAATTGTAAGATCTGTCTGCGACGAGGACCGCTACCGCTTGTGAGACCCGCACTTAACAACTTACGGACCTGTGTAAAACATAATGAAGTAATATAATTACTTTATATTATGTAAAATCAATATATTTTTTATGGTATATCTAAGTAATTTGTCTTGTTTATTAGTCTTTACGTACGAGAATTTAAATAGATCTTATTACAAATTCACATGGGGCTACCCATACATAATATAGAGCCATAGAAGAGCTGTATAAGTAAAGTTTTATATAAATATATATCTCATTCTTATTATACGGATGATATTGAAATTAGGTGGAAAATATAAAAATGTTATTCATATACGAAATATACATTGGAATAGATATCCCAACTATTTAGTTCAATTTGAACTATCTAGTTCTTTTCCCTGATGGTCTAGGTGTTGCATTAATTTGGTTATAAATTTCTATGTGAACACCAATCAAATGCCTACTATGAAAATATTTATATAAAAATATCATTCCATATTTCTGAACATTTCTCAAAGTCCCCAAACACCCTATTACTATAACACAAGGCCCTCTACCTATTTTAATACACAAAAGAGCTACAGGTTCGATTACACATATATAGGATTGAACACACACATGCATATCAAGCGAAACTCTTTTTACGAGCCGTCCAACCGGCCTTGGTGGGGCCGGAAGGGATGTGTGAGACTCGGCCTGGGCAGGCCCCTACTCACTAAAACCACTGCGAAAGCCATCGGCCGCTATGTCGGTGTACCCCGGATCTGTCAGCGACAGGGCACACATGCATATCCACACACACATGCACAGTATAATATATTCATTCACAATGACCTGGTGGTGTGCGAGCATCCTGTTGAAGGCTGCCTCCCAGTGTGTGTGTAGCGGCGCCAAACACAGCCCGCCGCGACATGCCACTACCACACACTGCTGGGCCGTCTCGGTGCCCATAGGGCCGTTCTGAAACATATATTATATACACATATATTTACATGTAAGGCAGACTCTGGCTAAAGCTGGGAACTTGTCAGGTAGAAGATACATGTAAGAAACGATTCGTTATTATACAGGGTGACTGGTGAATTACTATCGATACTTGAGGACGTGATATTTGACGATCATATATGACAAAATAAAAATTAATATAACATAAATATTAATAAACTTCTAAGTAAAGTTAACCAAAAGTTATGTAATTAATTACGCATCGTGTGAACACCCTACAGATTAGGTATACACACACACTCACACATACGCGTTTGACGGCGTGTTGTTGTATCAGCACGCCGCCGCACGCGTCCACACTTGGAACACTTGGAACGTGTCAACACTTTATTTATTTATACGGAAATTTTGTCAAAAATTAAGTGCCTATTTTTTTTACATAATTCGAATGAGAATCATGTACCGAGTATTCTCCTTAAATATTGATAGTAATTCACCAGTCACCCTGTATACTGTTGTAAAGATGATACAATATACTATGTTGATAAATTTTGGATTGATAAAAGAATCTTAAACTATCTTATATTTGCATTGATAACTAATAAATCTGCCAAGAGGGTAGACTCTAGAGAAAGATTCAGAGAAATTATTCCGTAATCCTAGGTATGTATGTTTAGGTACTTGGTAAGGATTATTATTATTATATTAGGGTATGTTCATCTAAAATCATTGTGATAATTACCTGTGATGTATATTGTAACACACTATACAGGGTGTCCTCGAAGGCGTCAGGAGTTACTTCCTGCAACACCCGCTCTTGTGTTTCACTCATTTCGCATAACACTCCCACTACTTGTAACTGGAAAAAGATAATTATGAAACTTACGAAATTTCTTTCATATAAAAGTTTTAATCAAATAATTTTAAAATTAAAATATATAATATCAAGATCTAATACTTTCACGAGTATTGATTTGAATAAAACTAATATTTTCGGTTTAAATCCCTTTTTTTACTATCCACACCTTATACATACATATAACGCGGGTAGATGAGATGAAATTATAATTCATTTCTTTTGCCCGTAATAATGGTTGCTGCAAACTACAAAGTAACCGAAACGTCGGGAGTATTTCGTTTTCAAAATAATTAATAAGCGCGTAGTAAACCGAAAATGTTACTTTCATTTATATATTTAAATAGTGACAAACATAAATGCATACTTTAGAAAGATGTAAAATACTATATATCATTATCTTACCCATTGTAAACCAGATTTACCCGGCTCCAAAGCCGGCGGTACCAATAAAGCTGGTAATCCATCATTTATTACTGATATCAATTCCCTTGGCAGGGCGCCCTCGTCTGTAAAAACATTCATTAAATAAATATACATTAAAAGAAGAAAAATAAACAGAATTTGGAAGAGCAATATTTATATAATATCTTTATATATATAATTCTTCTGTGAGTGTGTATGTCCCTGAACTTCTCTCAAACGACTGGATTGACTTTGATGAAATTTTTTGTGTGTGTTTAAGGGGATTTGGGAATTGTTTAGATTCACAATTTTGCCCGCTGGATAATGTTTTTTTACTTATTTTTTTAATTTATTAGTAGTTGTTGATACAAACTTTTTTTTTGACATTAGATTTGACAACTAACTAATATGTCAATCATTCTGTCGCACTTCAAAACACGGAGATTTATGGCTTTAATAAGTAAACTCCAAAAATATAAATAAAAAAACGTAACAGATATTTCTTGATTATAGGGCGATACGAAGTTCACCGTGTCTTCTAGTATAATTATAATAATGTATGAAAATCTATCATACCTTTATATACGGAAACGATAGCAGCAAAAAGCTCTAAAGACTCCGGCAAACAAATTCGAGATGATTTCATACACAGACATACTAGCTGACTGTGAAAACTTCTCAATGAATATATATCTGAAACATATACCATATACATATATTTTAATAATTAAATTTCTCTAGAGCTAGATTACTTTAATATTAAAATTAATACATAGTTTATCATCAATTAAAGATACTTATTTGTAAAGTAATACAATTTAATGTTTGAAGACATACAAGAACTTACTTTTACAAAATTAAAGGAAACATGCATTTCTTTATATGTAATTCATAAGAATAAATGTTGTATTAAAGACCTTAGTTTATGATTAAAAATAAAATAAAGAATTGTATATGATTCAAGCTGTATATGGTAAGTAATTGAAATTTTATATAAAATAATGATAATTTGAAATAAAATAAATCCAAAGTGATAACATAGCAAAGCTGGAAGTTTATCTGATTTATTTGATCATTCATTCATTTGTTCTTTTATTTATTTCTTCATTCATTTATTTATACAAGAAACACCATGAGCATATTCACACTTAAAACAATAATATTAAGAGACAAATTCCCATTCAGTGTGATATCCTACTACAGGCATTTATATTTTTATACTAATTAGAAGAAAAATATTAAAATCTGCGTTTACCTAAATTGACTAAAACTGTGAGAAATTTCAGCACATTGCATAAACAATTCGAACAATTCTCAGATTCGCCCATATCATCTGGAGATGTTTTACATAATTCTTCAATGTTCTGGAAAAATAAATATCATCATATAAATATTAACTTAAAATATAAATATTACATGTTTTAAGTAAATGCAATATTTTTTTAGACAATGGTTACTTACATTCAATGAATCTTGAAGTGCATTATTAAATTTTGTGTATGTTAGAACATAATTTCTTAAGCTGCTGTCTGAGCAGAGATCTTTAATGAATGTGTAGGCATGAAGTAATTGCGTTGAATCCTTTTCACTGTAAAAAATATGAATACAATTAGCACCAAAATATTAATTTTATAAAAATATTGTTAAGTTTCTTAGCAAAATAGAAATAAATATTTTCGATTATTGTAATGATTGCAAGTAATAAATCTTTAAAATACAGCTAGCCTTAATTTATTCCTTAGCATATGAGCCTAAATCGTTTTTCAAGTTTGAGAGATAAGCTTCAACAAACAGACAGACAGAAAATATGTAAAAAAATTATTTGGATCGGCATATGTGGCATATGTAACAAATAGAGACTTATTAACTTATTTAATAATTTATTTATTCATATAGTTGTCGGCACGTAAATTGGCAAGAGACGATCGATGCGCAGAATGTGATTTGTAGATGTCATAGATGTTCGCTCCCGAATATACATGCGAGCGAATACACATTGTTTTTAATACTTTTACCAATTTTTTTTAGTAATAACTAATAAGTATCAAAAATGACCACCTTACTTTGCACTGAGTGTAAATGCGTTAACATATCCCCACTACGCCAAAATCTTGCCAAAATAAGTGCCAGCAGCTATACCTATATATAGATTACTCACACTATAGCCTTAGAGAATGTCCGCATTGTGCAACATAAGTAGCTGTGGACGTCTGGCTGTCTAGTAGAAGCAGCGCCGCGGGTCGCGCTTGAGAGGCAGAGTAACAGACGGCATACTTCAACACCACCATATGCACCATCCTGAAAGAAAATATATTATCATTAACTATTTTTAAGATCGACTTAAGTAAATATACATTGGGAGTTATACATAAACTACTTATTATTTAATAATTAATAGTATCGTTATTTGGAAAAATTAAAACAATGAACCACATTCACCAAACCATAAATATGTGCACAAACACACCATTACAACATATGAATATTAATGTGACAAATTCTTGGACTGGTTCATTAATATTATGTAAATTGTAACAAAGCTTTATTTCTAAATGTAAAAATGCTAATAAGTGATGGGATTTTTTTTTAATATTTAGATTTACAATTCACTTTTTACAATTTAGACTTGGAATTTACAATCATTTGAGTTTACCAAAGTAAAAACCAAAATATTCAAAATATGCTTAGTCTATTGAGACTGAATGTGTAAGAAAAGAAAGAATAAATAGTCATATAAATATTAGTGATAAACAATGAACAAAAATACCTTTAAACTAATCAGATGCACAACAAACTCTTTAGTATCTACAGTCCTCATTAAAGCATATATTGCCGGCAGGTTCCCATAGCACACATTAACAAGTACAGTCAATGATTTGTGACCAATAGCACGCTGCTGTGGTTCCGTCATGGGCTGCGTTATCCAATCGGTGAGCTGTTTCATGAGTCCAGTGAGATAGGACTCTTGCCAGCTTATTTTTATACCATATGAGATGTCCTGGTCAAATTAATATACTTTATAAGTAAAAATTTTCATGAGAATTCTTTTGGTATAAAATAAATTAGTATAATAGTATATACCTGCATCACAGACAGAAGTTTAATTTTTTTATCATTTGAAATATTGTCAGAGAGAAGTCTTGCCAAAATAGGCATAAACCTGAAAAAAGAAATATTAATTTAGATGTATGTATATTTCCAATAAATAGTTCACACAAGAAAAATCACATACTCCATCATATAATAAGTTATTTAGAAAATAATTACAATAAGAACAATCACCAAAATCATTATTAATAACAATATTTTCTTTTATATTATGTAAAAATGGTGTTGTGTGTATGTGTGTCACAGTTATATGCAAAAACTATTGAAGAGATTTTAGTGAACCTATAAAATGCTGTAACTTACGTAAACAAATTAAGATATGGTACATCATCGCAATCTAAGTTGGTGTTAAAACACAATAGTTAATTGCTAAAATTGAAATATTTCATGATATATGATTTTGAGAATGTGGCTAACCCACGAGAATATTAATAAAAGAACTTCGCTCTTTAATTGAATTTAAATTACTTACTTGTACGTATGTGTTAAGGCATGTCTAGTACTCGATTCTATAGCGGCCCGGGCGAGTACCGCTACGCCTGCCCAGTGAGGGCCTCTCGCATCACACATTACCCTCCAGAGAGAACTAAAAAACGCGCACACCTCGCTCCGACCGGGAGAAAATATTGTAAGATCACATGATGAAGCTATTAACTATAAAAGAAAATACTTGTTATGAAAATCTAAGGAAAAACAATTAGTATGAAAATAAGGATTTTTTGTTAATTTAGAAGTTTCTTCTCACCCCTAAATAACGAGTCATCATATTTATTGCAGATTCACTGTGAGTGGCTTCAAATTCACGAGCAGCATTTACAAAAGCTTTTAAATTTGCGAATTTCGCTCCTTCCATAGGATTGTTCCAACTCTCCACGCCGTCGACTTCCATCATTATGATACACTTTTCAAACTTTAGTCAGTTATTTACAAACAGCTCGATTAAAATACATAAAACAAGACAAAGTACAAGAGTTTTATTAATTAAAATATTTAAAAAAACAGTCTAAATCACAAATCTACAAATTTTAACTTCAACTGTTTTCCATTGAAGATTAATTTCATTGGTCAACATTGTTGTAATTTATAACACCTTGTAGAGATTGGTTGCCATGCATTATTTACAAAATGCTAACCCGACATTGGCCAAATTAATTTACAGATAATATAAAAAAAAATGTAGATAAAATATTTTTCATGCCATTTGACCTGGAATATATCCACTATTTTCATACTTTTAAAAGTTCCAACTTTATTTTTATTAATATATATAAAATGCTTTTGTCAATAAATTAAATAATTTCATTATATATCTGACTTTTAAATTAGATCTCTCTTCAAAAATATATTTGTAATATGCATGCACACACTTCACCAATTTTAAATTAGAGATTTATTGTGCTATATCAAAGTCAATAATAGTCAACAGAAATTCCATAGCAGTACCTACAAAACTCGATTTATCTTATAATTTATTGTTGAATTATTGGATACCCAAGTGAATAATTTAATACTCAACGTCAATCTTTTCTATGACAATGTGTCAATTTCAACTTTATTTATGAAGTAGGAATGATAAATGATTACACTTACAGACAATTCAAAGTTCGGACAACAGCACTCATATTAATAACTAATGATAATTTTGCTTAACGTGTACATATTATACAGTAAAACAAAAATATGGCTCTTCCGACAGCACAACCGGCTGAAGTTTTACGAGCATGGCAAAAAGATGATCTTTATGAAAAACAATTGGCTGGTTCATTAGCACGACTTGTACCTTCACATCATGCTTCAAAGGCAGTTCCGGTATCATCCGTACTGTATAAAACATTCACAACTCTCAAAGATTTGCAAACGCTGGGTGAGGAATATTCTGGAATCGTGCAGGTCGACGATTCCTTCCATAAATTACCTAGTTTTATGTCCCGACTTTCCAGCATCTTGCTATCTGCTTTTGGTGAAAATTTAACCAGAAAAATACTCAATCACCTCGGTAAACAGGTGGAAAGTAATGCATATCTGAAACCTAAGGCGCAGAACTTCTTGTTAGTGGTATTAAAATCTTTGAATAATATTGTGCCACAAATAGAGAGCATCCACCGTGCTTTGTCCTATATCAGCGGTGGACCAATTCAGATAAGCAAAACTGTAACAGGTATAAATTATGTCCATGTTAGGCCTGCCGCGGCTGCATATTATGCTCACTTAAGATTACTAGGTATAGTAACATTACTCCATGCATTTATATCGTGCGGTCACAGTGTTTACCAGGCAAAGAAACATATAGATGATATGGCGGACTTCCCAAATGAAGTAGACAGTAGTAAATCTTGTGTGGCTTGCCTGGAAGAGATATTAAATCCTTGTGTATTGCAATGCGGTCACTTGTTTTGTATGAACTGTTGTTATGGAGGTTTAGAAACATGTCCGTTGTGTCGGACTCCATTTACTAAGAATACCGTTGTCCCACTAATGAATTACTGGCCTGGGAAAATGTAGGGAAAAAATCTATATGATATAAAGGGATTTATGTATATCATAAGTGTACATATATGTATATAATAAGAAAACATAGTCTTTATATAAGGGATCTTGTGATTTGAAAATTTACTTTATAAAAATGTATTTAGCCTGTCAAAGAATATTTATAAAAATATTAATTTAATAAAACAACAAAATACATTGTTATAATAATAAACAGACTATTAAAAAGTAATTTTTTTTTTATTGCATTTGCTTTGTATCACTCAAAAATAAACTCCTGATGAAATAAATAGTAACACAATAATTGTTAACATTGCTTTATTTCATGAATATCAGCAAATACAAAATGTTAAAATTAATGTCTAGACAATTTATTACTTTTAAATAAAATAGGGGCATACCTTCACCCAAAAATATAATAATGTAGGTACTTAGTTACATATATAAATTATTGTAACATAAAACAATGGAATATTTACATTTTGTAAATTAAATGCAATATTTGTCTTATAAATGTCACATTTCATTAACATACATTTTGAATGAATCACATATACTGAAAGTTGTATAAGCATTATCATCAGTAGATTTTCAACATGGTCTTCAAATAATAAATAATAACAAATTATAAACTATACTCAAACACAATTCTAAAGTCAACCAAATAGAAATGTTAAATAAACTAAAATTATGTATGAGATTTACATTAATAGTAACTTGTAGTTATCTTTAAGGCATTTTTGTGTGTGGCAAGATATTATTCAACCCGTAATAACTCAACATCAAAATAAAGGGTGGCATTCGGCGGGATTACTCCTGGATGACCTCTGGAGCCATATGCAAAGTCCGGTGAACATGTCAGTCTTGCTCTTTCTCCTACAGACATCTGTTAAAAAAAATGCTTTGTTTAAATTCAAAATAAAACCTCATTTACGATTTTTGTTGTTTTTTTAAGGAAATGTCAACAGTTTCAAATGAAACACTGAACATATTTACCATTAACCTTATGTTAGAGAGATGAAAGAAACGTTTAAAAAAATATAAATTGAATTAACATTTTATATATTACCTTCGCCAGGCCTTGATCCCAACCCTTAATAACGTCGCCTTTGCCCAATGTAAATTTGAAAGGCTGGCCGCGGTCTCTTGAAGAATCAAATTTTTTACCATTTTGCAGGGTTCCCGTGTAATGCACGACTACTGTTTGGCCAGCTTTAGGATATGTTGTGCCTAAAATAATAAAAAACATTTATGTTCCGGGCTTATATTTTTAATTTAATTACGCGCTAGATTTTGAAGTAAATACCGTTCCCCGGAGAAATAGTTTCAACATCAACGCCCATTATGTTAGGGTTCACAACAAATGGCTATGAATAAAAAGTCGCAAAACACGAAAAGTCCTTTGATGTAGAACGCGAAAATTAACAAATGCCAACACCATAGTGTTGTACTGACATATAACATTTATTAATGTGGGAGTTGGGCAAGTTTGTATATCATTTGCCATAAATATTTTGTTTCTCTAATTATTTATCTGATACTACTAAAATGACGCGGTAGTAGTAAATTTCTATCTTATATCAAATTTTACTTTAATTTCACATTCGAATTCCGCGTTCATGATACACATCACTACTACTGAAATATAAATGTCAAAACATATTAGGTACATACGTCATAAATTATTTTCAATCCTTAATGCACATCGCGAATCGTCAACAAAAACATCTTACAAAATAATATAGTTGCAAGCTTAAACATGGTCTCCAGTGAAGAAGAAGCAGAAGTTAAAACTGCTGATACTTTGGAGTGGGATGTTGATATGGAAATTCAATTGTTTTACGCTATGGCTAACCACAAGCCGGTCGGTATAAACAAACACTTTCAAATGGCTTGCATCTGGGAAAAGATGTCCAGTTCTATTACCAAAGAAATTACTACCCATGATATATGGAAACATCTAGACACGTTGTATGATATGGCGATGTTGGATGACACGGAATCTATACCATTTCCAAATCACGAGATGGCATTCTGTTTACCGGAGAATGAGTTCGGGAGTTTAATTAAACAAAAATGTAAAGAAACCATATTAGCCGAAGATAGCGAAGGTATAGCATATAGAGCTTTGTTTAAGAATCATACATACTGTACATTTTCTTTATCCATTTGATAAACAATGTTATCTTATGCCGGCCACACATATTATAGTATAGTTGTTGGTATGCTTGGGCCGGCATTACAGAATTAGTGACATAGTTTTGTTCAATAATTTTTATGTTTGCTTCTAATTTTCTATTAATGCCTGTGATAAATTAAAATTCTTTGATTTATACCATTTTTTAAAATTCTATAGATGGTAGAAGTCCATCACCAAAAACGTCCACACCAAGAAGCAATTCAAGAGGAACTGCATCAAAGGACAACACACCTAAAGGTCGCATAATTTATAAAATATTTAATACTATATAAAGATTCTTTTTCTTATATAAATTAAGTATATATTATTACTCTAAACCTTTTATCTTTAGCTGGAAGAAAAGATAGCATAAGTGCTCTTGCTACTAAGACAAGAAAGGAGAGTGGTAGTTCACACGCTTCTACTGACACACCGAGTATTAAATCGGAAAAGGAATATGGTAAAATAATTTAATATTAACTCTAGATGTGAATTGCGATCAAAAATATATATCATTGGGGATAGTGTAAATCTGCATAACTGCCATTGAATAATGCCGCATATCTACACAATTTTTTCACAATCCCTACTAATATTATAAATGCGAAAGTAACTCTGTCTGTCTGTCTGTCTGTCTGTCTGTCTGTCTGTCTGTTACTCTTTCACGCCTAAACCACTGAACTGATTTTAATGAAATTTGGTACTGAGATAGAGTTGACCTTGAGAAAGAACATAGGATAGTTTTTATCCCAGACTTTTGAAACGTTCTCTTGGAAACGCGATATAACCGAACTCCACGCGGGCGAAGCTGCGGGCGGAAAGCTAGTTAGTAATAAATTATACACTAAATAATTACTAATTGGGAAAAAAATTACCTTATAAGATGTTAATTTAGAAAATATTTCAGCTTTAACTTTCTTTTGATAATAATCTGTTTCCAATGTAGATATGCGGAATTATCCAATGGTAGTTATGCACATTTGCAATATCCCCAACAATATTATTTATGTAGATAAATTTTCTAATTTGCTATCAAGACTTAGTAATTTTTTTTGAATAAACTTTATATTTTCAATAGACCGTAGACGAGATTCAAGAGATTCAAATGCATCAGGACCTAAAGAAACGACAAGCAGTAGAAAGTCAACATCACAAAGAGAGAAGCCGGCTAAGTCTAAAGTTAACTCTGTAGCAGGTAAAAATTATATTTCAATGTTTTTATAATTATATATTATAAATTTTTATTGGTCATTTCTGAATTGGGTTTGGACTGAAGTGTAAATAACTTTTTCATTTTTTGCATTTATATTTGTATTAGGAAAATTAAATTTTAGTTCACTTTATAAAATATCAAAGAAAGATTTCCAAACATATTGTTATTTATTAAAAAGGCAAAGAAATAGTTATGAATGTTCCTACATGCATGTAAATTCTCCAATTAAATTAATGCAATAATAGATTTCTTAAACAATGCTTTTTTATCAATATAAATGATCAAACATGATAATCCAAGTAGTTTAGTCCTTTTCTAAACTGATATAAAAGATATTCTTGTAATTATTATAGTTTTGTTCCTACTAACTTCACACTACAGAGGGTTAAATAAAATGAAGTGTCCAAGCATTATCAGTCAATTTAATTAGCACAATAATTAATATTAATATCTTAGGATATATTTTAAGATATAAATCCCACTTTACAACAGGGTATATATTTTCTGTTTTCTAAATTTGAAATTGAAAGTTTAATAATCCAGATCAGTGTGCATAGTCAAGTTATATAGTGTTACTAAATTTTCATTCTTAAATTGTTGCACTACAGTTAAGATTACCTTATCAATAGGTTACTAAATGAAAAACATATATTATACATATGTAGTGTAATGGTGCAAAATTGGACTACAAAACCTACAATTCAAAAAACAAAATTAGCTTTTTTATAAAAAGCATAACAATATTATGTAATGAAACTAATATTTTTGGATTTTATTATTATCTCATCTGCCCGTGATCATGGTATATGCAAAGACATGGTATATGCAAAGAATCGCCGAGAGTATGTAGTTTAAAATTAATAAAAAATCGTAGTCATCAAAAAATATTAGTTTCATTTGAATAAATATTCGCGTATCAGATCTCATTAAGCCTAATATAAACTTCAGCATGGGATTCCCCTGTCATAGACGAGGAGGGTGGTTCACGTCGCGGTAGACGCCGCGCCAATACTTCAACCCCGCCTGCCACAACGCCAGCGAAACGGCGTCGCATGTGACATTCACACACACACTCCTACCACCATTTCTTCTGAAGTACCATAGCCGTGAATATTTTGGTGGTGTTCATAGACATTATAATTGATATTATAATTTAGTGTTATAGTGTCCTGTAAGATTTATTATTGTGATTAAGTGATTATTTTGAATAAATTTGATTTTATAAAAGTGATGTTTTATTTTAATTAGATTTTGTGAATTATCTTGGTGTTAATGTTTATTTCTTCCCAAAAATGTTTATAAGACAAGAAGAAAGTAATAATAGTACCTGTTTCTGCTTCGGTGTCATATTACAGGAACATGGTTATTTTGAAAACACAGATTTATTTTATTAATTGATATGTATAATAATTAAATAATAAATAAAAAAATTATGTATGGGTTTGTTGATATGGACAAAAATAAAATCAATTGTCGGAATTAGTACGTGCGGCGCGGGAGGATGTCCGTTATAGGTAGACTCAGCTGACCTAAAAATTTGTAAATTTCTTAACATCAACTGCTATACAAAGAATTAATATTATATAATTATTAATTGCAATGACGAAAATAAAAATTTAATTTTGCAACTTCAAATTAATAAAGACACATGTGTATACGTTACTTATTCTTCAGGATATATAAGAGATCTCAGATCAAAATATTAATAATAAGTGTACCTAAAATAAAATTAAAGGTCTGTATATAAAGTACTGACATTGTAGATAATATGTTTTATGGATTACCAACGAAGAAATTGCGTCTAGGTAGGTATATCTACATATACTTAATACGAGAACATTCAATACAATTGTTAAAATTGAATTGATTGGTGTAAATAGCGTTTACGCTATTACGATTTATCAGTACCTCTAAAATAAATATGTTAATGAAAATATCTAGGACTCGTAGTTATCATTTGTATGTCGTACTATCTACCTTTATTTTAGCCAGAGTTGGTCTAAAGTTTAACTCATTAAATATTTATGTCATGAACAAGTCATCGTAGATTCTTTCCACCTTTGTTTAAGAATTGAAAGTCGACGTAGTGGTATAAAATATTATAGTTTTAGATTGCTTTGTCCTTGGATACAGTTATAGTTTGAGCTCGATGTTCCTCCGAACAAATATAAGGGGGACATAAACATATTGCATTTTACATGTCGTTTTCCTGTTATAGTATGCAATTTTCCAAAATAGTTTTCCTTTTAGGTCGAATTTACTTTAATTACTCCAAATTTATACTTGGACTCAATACTTGTTTTATCATCGCAATCCCTGAAGTAGGGTTGGTTGCTATCTGTTTCAGTTAGATGCTAGCCCGATGATTATAATTCTTATGATTAATACTGATTTTGAATTTCATTAACAATTCTTCCAGAATAATCGAAATCAATATTTTTGTATAAAATAAACAAAAATTCCTTTTATACTTAAGTAATAATTGTAGTCTGTAATATTTCATCTGTTATTGTGATGTCAAAGTGACTTACGTTTGGTCTTCATAATTATGAAATATGAAGTGTATGTCAGTTTATACTCGATTTAGGTTGTTGATGAGTTTTTCTAGATGCATTAAAACCTTAAAAATATATGTATTAAACCAAAGAAGATTTTATGGTTATATAATTTACGACGAATAAAGATGGCAAATCACTATGAAGTGCCAAATTGGTATGTTCAATAAATACTTTTAGAGAATACAATGAACGTTTTAATACCGCCATTCACGGCACTATATTTTTACCTGTGTTCTTTAATAAATAATGGAATAAATAATTACTTTTTCTAATATTTCTCTTTTACGTTAAAATCGGTTGGTGTAATCCTTCTTTACAATAAATTTTTAGGGCCGGAAAGCCTCCAACAGGTCTTCATTTAGACGTATTAAAAGGCGATAAGTTGATTCAAAAACTGATGATAGACGAGAAGAAATGCTATCTTTTTGGTCGTAACCCTCAAATGAACGACTTTTGCATCGACCATGCCAGTTGTTCTAGAGTGCATGCAGCTTTTGTTTACCACAAACACTTAAATAGAGCTTTTTTAGTGGATCTGGGTAGCAGTAAGTATGAAAATGTTTTTGAATACATTCCAATTCGAAATATCAAAGAATTCTTGCATTTCATTTTCAAAAAATGTTTATAACTACAATTTTGTTTCCTTTGTGTGTATTTTACTAATCCTAAACATGGATGTTATTGAGATCCAAGCTATTTAAGGTATAATATATTGTATTGTTTTTCATTAAGTTTAATACAAATATGTATTTTAATTTCAGCACATGGCACCTTTATTGGTCAAATGCGTTTAGAGGCCCACAAACCTACACAATTACCTATTGATTCAAACTTTCATTTTGGAGCGTCCACCAGAAACTATATTATTAGGTAAATCTATCAAACTTTTTTGAAAACATAATACTATTACTATTTAATATAATTGGAATTGCCTTATATTTAGTAACATTTATTATTGATATATAAAAATTTCTTAATTATATATGTATATATAAGTCTAAAATCAAATTTATATCTGTTTTCATAGAGAAAGACCAACAGGTAATTCAAGAGGTATAATGGAAGATCTTCCAAATACAGAGACTGAAGGAGCCCTTCTTGGACTGCCAGAGACTCAGACCGAATTAGATGTAAGATAATAATATTGAAGTATAGTAATTACTACTCTCTGTTGGGAAATTCCATGAACATTGTAGATAGATAGTTTAAATGGTTTATTTTCTTCAACTTACTGTATGTGACTATATTGTAATATCGAAATAGGTACTAAATAATCTCAGATCTGGCAAGAATTCTATCGCTTAAAGACGCCTTAAGCTTTTGTAGTGCTTAGGTATAAGTTATTCTGATAAATTACTTAATTGTATGGGTGGCAAAGCCATTATGCTGCATACATTTTGTGTGGGGCTATGAAAGATCTTTAGGAAAGAAAAATTTCTGTTAAAAAGACAAACTTGAAAAAGTTTTCATACTCCAAACAACATTTAATTCAAATGATTGGTTGGAGATCAAGTGTTTGATAGAATTGGTGGCCACCTTATCTATAAGCAATTTAGTTTTCGGTCCAGATGAAGTAACATACACATTCTCATTGAAATCATAGTAAGGGACAAACTTAAACTTTGCAAGTACCATCTCATTAGATTCACACAACATTAGAATGGGAAATGCTAAAAATATTACAGAAAACCTCATAAGTTTTGTGTGACTATTAGTCGATGGCCATCACATTTTTCTTGCCAGCATGTCTTCCACGCTATTGCTATAGAGTCAGTGTCTTTAAGACCATTTAAGGCTCACAGCATAGGATACAAGCAGTTTTGAGGCATAAATAATATATGTAGGAGCTTATATTGTAAAGAAATATCTTATAGATAAAGGACTTGACGATCGTTGTCTGATAGATATTTGCGGTTTGACTTTAAGCATCAAACACTACTTAGCAATGCAATTATATTGTTCAAGTCCTCTGAAAAGTTCCCTGATAGTTATTCTCTTACTCGTCAGTGAAGATTCTGAGTGTGTTCATATTCAATCTCATATGTTGTATCATAACTTGCTTTTTTTGCCCAAAGATTGTCTTAAAAGAATCCAATAGTCCTCATAGACTTTACCTAAAACGACTAGAAGATATGTCATATTTTTCCTCCATAGCTTATGAATGTAAATTCCTATAGCATCACAACTTAGTCATACACATTTTCGATTTTATAGAGCATTAAGTAATTTGATATAATGATTAATTCTTCACCTTAGGAGTCTTTTAAAATCAGTAAAATAATAATCTTGACAGACATATATACTTTTATACAGAATAATTGGATGGGTTAAAATGTTCTCTGGTAAAATAAAGAATTATATAAGGAATTATATCAATAATTATTAAAGAATTATGTCAATAATTATATAAGGAATTATATCAATAATTATATAAGAATTATATCAATAATTATATCAAAATTATTGATTAAAAATTATAAGTTAGCAAGAAACCAACACAGAAAGTGCTATTATTAATTCTAATTGTGCTTTTCAATAGAACTTGACGGAATTCAATACAGCTCACAACAGAAGAATATCTATGCTGGGAATATCTACAGATGATGGTAGTGACGTCATAAAGGTAACAATTATATATTATTATAGAGTATTTACTTTACTTAACTTTTACTTTACTTTTATATAATGTTTTTACTTTATTTTTCTTTCATTTTATGTCTAAGTGTCATAAAATTAATTTATCTATAATTCTAAAGTCCTATATTTATATATTGATTTGGATTTAATGTTTCATTATTTTTAATCCATATTTTTAGGGATTTTGTAGTTGTTTTTACTAATATTGTCAGTTGGTATTACTTTCAGCCAGCAACAGGAACTAAACGGACGCAAGCTATGCCGTTAGGGGTGACAAAGAAACAAAAAAGAAATGTGTCTTTTAATGAGGAGGTAGATATTATCAACCCTGAGGACATTGACCCCACTATTGGCAGGTTTAGAAACTTAGTCAGGTCTACAATTGTACCAAATGCTAATACTCCAAGCAGAAAGTTGAAATTACAGAGTGCGGATGAAAGTAAGTATTTAATGTAGTTACATAGATTAAAAAAAGTTTACTAATACTATGGCAACAACAGTATATTTGAATTACCAAACAATATTTATTATCTATATTCTTCCCATTTTTGTGAAATTATTCTAATATATATTCTGGTTCATATTGAACGATTCAAGTTTTCTGCACCGCGTGAAAGACCACATCGATCTTGTGTCTTGAATAAAGTTTTTGACATACCCCCTTATAATGGTATTTTCTACAAAAAATCTTTTACAGTGGTTGCTGCTCAACTTTGGAATTCTCTTCCGGGCTATATAATAAAAAATTGTAATTCAGTACATATATTTAAATTCAGATTGAAAAAATATTATCTCACAGTCTCATCACAAGATTAGAAATTAGATATATATATATGTGTGTGTATGTGTATATATATATATATGTATATATATATATATGTATGTGTATTTTATTTTGTATATGTATGTATATATTAATTGTATTTATGTAAATTAATATGTAGTTTATAATAGTTTTTTGTATATTTAAGTATGTTTATGTAAAGTAAAAATAGTAATAATTATTCTTTGTCACTAAAATTAAAATTGTACCTACCTTCCTGTAATTTTAATATAATATTACTCACACTCCAGGGTGGCTGGAAGAGATCTCTCGTAGAGATAGGCCTTCCTTTGTATCACTATGTTTCTTTCTTATTCTTATTTCTGTGTTACTTGTTTTTTTTGGTACATAAATAAATAAAATAAAATAAATAAATAAATATAACCCTAACTTTTCATAGTAGTGTCAAAAAACTTTTAATCCATATAACTAAAGTTATATACATACTTATAATTTTGGACAAAATGTATAATTTATCTATTTTTAGGTCAACATCATCATTCTCTCAGGCTGCAAGAGATCTGTCGAGGCAATAATTTGTATTCTGACTTACCGGCACCAAGTTCTCATCTTAGCCTTATAGGAGCAAGGTTAGTGAAGTTATATATGACTTTAATTATTAATATAACATGTGTTTTGTCTGTGAATACCAGTTGCCTTTTTAATCTGTGATACAATTCTATACTTCCTCCTTTGTAAATAAATGATCTTTACATTCTAATTTGAAAGTTTATTATGTAGTATATTTGTTGCTTTTTCATGAAAAAACTACAAAACAGATTTTGTTGATAATTTAATGATGTAGTTTAGAATAACTTGTAGGTTTTAATTTTCCCACTTTCTCGCAATTAACTAAAGAATACGGCAGAAAAGTTGCAATTGGTATAGAGTCACAGATGATAGATAGCGCTACCATTTAGCATATCTATTTTATTTAACCATATTATTAATTTATCTCTGAATATATTACTGTTGTCCTTGTAATTGAAGTTGCGGGTATTTACTAGTTATATAAAACTTAACCCCTATAAGGATAAGTTACATTACTCCTACATATAATGATCCCTACTAATATTATAAATGTCAAAGTAACTCCGTCTGTCTGTTTGTTACGCTTTCACGACTAAACCTATGAACTGATTTTAATGAAATTTGGTATATAAATAGAGTTGACCTCGAGAAAGAACATAGGATAGTTTTTATCCCAGACTTTTGAAAAGTTCTCTTGGAAACGCGATATAACCGAACTCCACGCTGGAGAAGCTTCGGGCAGAAAGTTAGCAATTACTATATGCGTGAGTAGTTTAATAATTATTTTATTATTATTTCAGATTGGGTCTAATGTTGCCAAATCCCGCGCCAGATGTGGAATTAGAGGGTCCAGAACCCCATCTCAATATAAACCCGCCGTTACCTAACAGTGGTATGTATAAAATAGTTTTACTTAACTAAATAACGAACTTGAGTTAGTTTAGCTAATCTCTATAAGATGTTCTTATTTCAACCTATTAATAATAATAAACAAACCGTTAATAATAATAAAAAAACATCCATAATATTACTTCTAAATAGTCATCTCTATGACTTTTTCATTGATTTTTATATTTTTGGTAACTAATTCTGGTCTTAAAATTGTTCCTCTCATGATTTTAATCTATATAAACAGTTGCAGAGGAATCAGCGCCATCTAGCGAGCCCAAGAGGAAGAAATACGCGAAGGAAGCGTGGCCCGGAAGGAAACCGGCTCTTATACCGAGTGTCTAAACTTATACATAATAATATTATACGTTATAATTATATTATACGTTGCAATTATACAAAATGGATTGTTAATTTGTTCATGAAACCTCCTAGAAATAATTTTACATTTGAAACAAAATTAAAAACAGTGATAGAAACAAGTATGTCAATAATTTTTCTAGGTACATATTTTTAAAATAAATTTTATGGTATATGTAAGGATATAAATATTTTTTTGTTTTTATCATACAAAAATACATATAAAGACTATTAAATTATAGAATTGCATATACGTATTAAGGCACGAAAAATCTTTACCAAAAAAATCGCATGAAATACATCATTATAATGATTATTAGGAACAATTTTAACTAAATTCCCGCCAAATAATGAGTCTTAAAAAAACTCAAATTTAAAACATCCACTGTATTGAATTAATGAAAATATTTAGTGTTAAGCTTTTTAGAACTATTTGTTCCTATAATTATATACCAAGCAACACTTAAAGGTGAATTGAAACATTGGAATTGATAAATAGGATTTAGATTGTACTATGAGCATCTCTTAATAATTTAGTTACTTAAAGATAGTAAAAAAAACATAGATTAATTGTCATAGAGTGTTGATTTAATAAGAATTATATACACAAAGTTATGGTTTTAGTGTTTATATATTGGAAAATTAAAAAGATTATTACAGGATTTACTGTGATTTTCACAGTGTTAGCGAATGTACAATAAATGTATAATTATACTTAATGTATAAATATACAATACATGATAATTATATAAGTAAATGTAAAAGCAATAAATTTTTTATAACATACACACGGTTTTTTAATTAATTCTCGTTTCAAAATGTTTCTCATATATATAAATTAATAATGCGTTAAATAGGGGCATCTTAAACCTACACCTGGGTCGCAAGTCCCAGGCACTGTTGAAGCTCCTTTCACTGCAACGATGGACCCGACACACGCACGGTGAATACATTGAATGATGAAAGGTTTCGTCTCAATTCAAGTCTTAGTTCTATAATCCTTACAAAATCACTAAGCTTGCAATCACTAGTTTCAACCGGGTTGAGAATATTAAGAAATCATTAGTCTTTTAGTGTTTCATTATATTACAGATTGAAATGTGTAAGAAAAGAAAGAATTGTGCATGAACCATAAAAGTGTTTCCAATTCTTATTCTGATTTACAACATGTTAATGAATTAATTTTATTTCTACGATACAGACCTAGCCTAGTGTGGACAACAACGTTTATTGTAAATTGCATTGTAAAGCATTTTAAACAAATAAAATAAATAAATAAAATTAACAATTTGATTTTATTCCGTTACGACGTACCCAACGTCTCACCATTTATTTTAATTACATAAATATAAAAAACAATTTAAATATTGTTATATATCAATTAAATGCCTAATATATATAATATATTTCAATATCAAAATATTACAAAAACTAGAGACTGAATGCTCAATTCAGAATGCTGAATGGAACCAAAGTGCCCTACAGGCAATACTTTTATATCTTTACGACTGTACTGTAATATAGAAATCTGTTTTCAAATTGGAACTTTAATTCATTTGCTATAAGGACATATTTTGTTTGTTTTAAATATTCATTATAAACAGGTGAAATTGGGCCCTATCTGCTATATATAAAATCGATATTCCTGTGCTCAATTTGCAACTTCATTAGAACATGCACTGTTGTCTGTATAAGTGGCCATTTGAGTGTTTTAGGTGCGCATCAACGTTATTACGGGTACTACTCATTCAGTGAAATAGTGGCTATAAACCGTAGTTTATTTTATTTACTATCTTATTTTATTGTATAGGTAATTTCTTATTAGTAAAATATTTTTAGGGATTGAAACATTATGCTATGTATCGACATATACTAATGGACGTTGGTTTGAAAAGAGTGAGAGAGATGGCCTGTGCTTTCGGTCTAGCACTATCTCTTTCCTCATAGATGATTGGCGCTCAGTTTTCATGACAAGCACGGCATATAAATTATCCAGAAGGGGCTCATAACGTCTTAAGTACGGTACTATTTTGAGAGAGATAAAGATAGACCAAAACTTCGTTTCCTCTCTTTCTTTCGAAGTGCCACAATTCTCATCTCTAAGGCATGAACATTATTATATGTCGATGATGCTATGAGTGTATTATGGGGTATTGAAGCAACATATTATTTATCTGTTGCTTTGTTTGTTGCACGATACGTTACACGACAAATTGTACGACAGATTGCACGACATGTTGTACGACTAAGCGATGAAACAGGTCTATTCTGATATAACACAATTACTGGCTAATGCAGTGCACCTACTAAGTATAGTTACTTATAAGAAGTTGAACGTTATTTAGTTCGCTTAAAAGCATGACTGAGTATTTACCAAGTAAGCAGTTATTTATAAAGCAAAAACTTTAAAAAGGTTTGAATCTAATTCGTTTGCGTAAATATGTAGGGGAGAGTCTTTCACTACTTTTCACTTTAACTCAAATATTTCGTCTATCACACGTCTTATAATATTTAATACATATGTAAAATAAAGTTTTATATTTTATCTTCCTAAGAAGGATTGAACGGATCCGTGCGATTATTCTAACATTGTTAAAAATGCTTTTTTGTAGAGGCTTGCCATCGGTACGATTTAGCCAACTAGTCGTTTTAATCGTACCACTAAGTCTTTAAATCGTACCATGGGTGTTTAAGTCGTACCACTGAATGAAAGACATTAAAATTCTCAATCAAATTATTTATTTTTAACCCTTAGGTAAGTAATAAAACAACATTATTTAAATATTTTAGACCACAAGGTTATACTTATATATTTAATATTTAACATAAATTGAGAAGATCTTTATAGTATGATAGTCTATATTTCCTTTTTAACGTACATTTTATGGCAAGAAACGTTACCTAAGCCATAAAGAGGATAGCCATTCCCAACGGGAGACATGAAAAATAATTAGATTCTTGATAATTAACAGACAACATAATAAAAAATAATAAAAATTTACACTAAGAACATAATAAATAATAATAAGGATAAGTTTCAATACCTACTTCTATGTATTTGTATAAATAAAAAAGAGTATGAATCCTTAATGCTTTGGTAATTTAAAAGATTGGCATTGTTTGTGATAAGTCATAGTAAAAAAAAACCAATACATACATAAAAAAAGAAAAGGAATAATGATTTCTCCTCTTTCTGTCTAACTTCTGGTACCAAATATGTTTATTTGTATGTTTAGTTAAAAGTGACGTAGTATTTGCATTTCAACTTCAAAAATTTATTTTACAATAAATTTTGATTTTATTTATGATATGTAAATTATGTAAGGAGTTGTTTGGTATATAAGGCTATATGCCAATCCATTACTACCGTTATAACTAAGTTTGTTTGCTGGCATTGAATGCTATTTTATTGTTTACTTGAAAATCCCTTCTTTTCCTAAAAACATTTCTTTTGTAAATTAGTAAAGAAGTGTTGGCAACATCAAGAAGTAATTGTGTACATTATTTATTCAGTCACATATTAATAAGAATTAAAGTTCCTTATGATAAATTTAATAATAGGTATATAATAATATTATATAAGAATCGTTTGAATAAATAATTTCGTCTATATAATATGGTAGAGAAAACAATCAGTGGTGGCTCAGTGGTTAAAGAGCCCGCCTCTCGTCACCGAGGGCACGGGTTCGATCCTGGCCCAGGCAAGTACCAATGTGGTTTTTCCGAATCATATGTGCTTTCTAAGAGTGTTTAGACATCACTGATTAATGTTGTTTCCCTAAAGAGGGTTGATGTCAGGCAGGCGGCCGGTCGTAAAAGCAAATAGCCAAAAACTATACACAACATGTAAGGCAGACCCTGGCCTGGCTATAGCTGGGAAATTGCCAGGTAGAAGAAGAATATGGTAGAGAAAACATACTTACAAATCTTTTTGTTCACGGCCACAAAATGTCTCGTATCGGTAACTCGATTAAATAATTAGTGTCATGCCATAGCCATCCCCATAACGTGAAGGTAAGCAATGAAGGCATTGTTGTGTTTATTATTTATTTATATTTGGAAGGAATAAAGTAAAAATAACAGTAAATTGTGTGTATGTGTATGTGTAAGTGTGTGTGTGTGTGCGCGTGTGTCTGTGTTGTATATACAGGGTGACTGGTGAATTACTATCGATACTTGAGGACGTGATATTTGACGATCATATATGACAAAATAAAAATTAATATAACATAAATATTAATAAACTTCTAAGAAAAGTTAACCAAAAGTTATGTAATTAATTACGCATCGTGTGAACACCCTACCGATTAGGTATACAGACACACGCACACACACGCGTGGGGAGGCGTGGTGTTGTATCAGCACGCGGCCGCACGCGTCCACACTTGGAACACTTGGAACGTATCCACGCCTTATTTATTTATACGGAAATTTGGTCAAAAATTAAGTACCTATTTTTTTTACATAATTCGAATGAGAATCGTGTACCGCGTATTTTCCTTAAATATTGATAGTAATTCACCAGTCACCCTGTATATAATGTTATACGTTCGCGAGACGTTTTTTTAATGAAACTATTGCAGATGAAATGAAATTGTCTGTCGGTGATCATGGTTACTGGAAAGTAATCGAAACGTCGGGAAAAATTGTGCAATAATAAAATTGGCGAAGTAAGACCTGAAAATTTCTTCTTCCAACAATGGTACGTTAACTAATTTCTGTGATGATTTTGTTTAGAGTTCATGTAATGGATAGTTTTAAAACTTACATTTAAAGTAACATTCTTGAAAAAACTGAAAAATGTTTCAAGAATTTGTAAAGTATAAAAAATAATAGTTTTAAAATTAATCTGTAACTTTCCTTAACATGGCAGTAGTTTGTTTGGTTTTGTGAGTAGTTATGTTGATTTTGCAGCTATATATATTTTAAATAACAGTAACTAAAAGACCAATGCATCTTTTGTAGGCTGCAAGTCTTAAGTCATC